GGGTCTTCGGAGCTTTCACCACTTCATGATCATTCAGGATTTTCAGACCTGAATGGTCCTGAAGTGGTGAAAGGTCCGAAGACCATGAAAACCACTTGTTTAGGTAGGCTGCATCCTCAAGTGGTGAAGGGTGTCCTGAAGTGACTGTTGTTAACCTTCTCTCCGTACGGCGGGCGAGAGAGCGAGCGCTGCCACATTGCCATTGGTCGGCCCCCCAAAAGTCTTCACGATCATGAGGATGATATCTCAACGTCGTCGCCCCAGCCCACTCCTTTAGCTCTGTTGCGTACCGGTCTTAGGGTACGATCACACTAAGACCTATTTCTCCAAATTTGGAGTAACGGGGTCGAGGTGCGGTGACAAACAATCCCTAAAATCGCATTCACACTATTCGATGCCCCATATGTCAACGTCTCGCGGGGGGCGTAGGGCAACAAATTTTGCCGAATACAACGTTTTTTTTCTGAATTAGCTTGCAAAAATAAACGAAAAAGCAATGAGGAAGATATTGGCGCTCTATCAACTGGAAGTGTGTGCTTTGGGATAAATGGATGATCATGTGGAGTAGTCACATGTTGGCAGTTTATTTTTGTCTGCATCCCTCTGGATGACTTTGTCTTTTGCTTGGATCACGACCTTTCGGGCAAAGAGCATTATTTCCATATCAGGCTGTCACCCTCCCCGATGTGATTTCACATTTCCTCTGCATGTCTTCCACCCACCTCCGCCTTTCTTGCGTCAGTCCCCCGGCTCCGCCCGTTCGAAGGGGTGGACTACAACTCGATTCCCCTCCTGAGTGTGCGCTTGTCCCATGTTTGTCTCCACACTGGAATGGATGTATTTGCTTATGAAAGCAGTTCAGGTGCCTCTCGGACCAGCGAGGAAATGTAATGAATGCTTGCCACGATCATGCCCAACTGCATCCACAGTGTATAGACCAGTCGAAAAGTGGGGGGCATATTGTGGATGCACCTGGAAACGAATGTGGCCACCTCGGACGACTGTCGTTTTGTGTCCCCGGGTAGGCCATCGTTGTTTCAGCGACTCATCAGTGCATTGGTTCCGTTGATTTCAGGTTGGGGACTCAAACGGTCGCCCCAAAAATAAGAAATAAAATAGACACAAGGCAAAAACGTATATCAAAATGACTTTTGGCATCATCAAAAGGGATAGGGGTCAAAACTTCAATCTGATTTGCACAGACTTACTGAAGTGCCCTCCGAACCGTGCGAAATAGTTGTTCATTACACGGCTCACTAACTCTACTTGCTTTGAGTTCTCGTACCTATTTAGCGGGGTTTCACTGGATCAAGTGACCAGTTTCCTCCGGGGACTCAGTCCCCCGGCTCCGCTCGTTCGAAGGGGTGGACTACAACTTGATTCCCCTCCTGAGTGTGCGCTTGTCCCATGCTTGCCTCCACACTGGAATGGATGTATTTGCTTCTGAAAGCAGTTCAGGTGCCTCTCGGACCAGCGAGGAAATGTAATGAATGCTTGCCACGATCATGCCCGACTGCATCCACAGTGTATAGACCGCTCGAAAAGTGGGGCACATATTGTGGATGCACCTGCAAACAAATGTGGTCACCTCGGACATGTGTCCCCTGGTAGCCCGTCGTTGTTTCTGCGGACAAACATCTTGGAGGCGAGCCATCCGAAATGCAGTGTGAGGTCACCCACTGCATTTGTTATTTCTGCGGGCGTAGCCCGTACCGCCCGCACTGCAAGCACTTAGCTAGTTGTCATTATACTATTACGGGGAAAATTCTTAAGTGTACTAGTATCTTTTTTCACACTGGATGTGGAGAGACTCACTTGGATGGGGTACCGGGGTTCTTCTCTCTAACTCTCCCCTCCATGTTGGGGTAAGCATAGGTAGGGATGATGTAACAGAAGGAGGGATACGACGCAGTTTGCTGGCGATGAGGCTAGCTGGTAGGATGGGATTAGGGCATAGCAACAACGGAGATGGTGGCTCCGTTGTGATGAGACTTGGTTGGGTTAAGGGGGAATGAACTCCTCGGTCCAGTTGAAGGTTGAGGCGCGAGTGCACGGGGAACGAACCGGCCGACGGGTTCGGCGGTTTTGGAACCCAACGCCTCGGAGTTACCGAGGAAGACGGATGACGTTGACTTCACCACGGAAGTCTCCTTGGAGGTCAGTCAGCAATGGAGCTATCGAGATTGACTGCAGGGGCAGGTGGAGGGGTAGGCGAGATGGTGGCATCTCGTGGTCAGCGTGAAGAAGGCGTCCTTGCGCAGGGAGCAACACACGTGGAGCTTCTACAGGAGATAGGTTTATCAGAGAATCTTCAATGTCAGGCAGACGAATGGGTCGCCTGGCTGGAAGACTCGCAACAGCATATGCAACAGATTGCTGGAGCCTTGGCCTCCGTGGCCCAGGATGGGTCAATGGTGGATTTGGGGGGTTCTACTATGTCCACATGGCTGGAGGATAAGTGTCGGCAGTTGTCAACTATCCTCTGGCAGATTGTGGAGGATCCGGAACTAGAGCCGTTTGTAGATTGGCAGCGGGCGAAAACTCTGATAATGAATTGTAACATGATCTACAGCGAAGGAGTTGATTACTACGATCAATTGAAGGAGAGGCTGTTGAATGAAACATCTACGATGGCGCGTGCGACCATGAAGTCAGCAACAGCGACAATCAACACGACGGCGCCGACTCCGCAGCTTGCATCTGCAGCAGTGTCAGAGATGTCTCTACCGATTGAAACACCAACGACGGCGATTGCAGCAACAACGGCAGTCAACACGACGACGATGTCTCCGCTGCTTGCATCTGCAGCGGTGTCAGCGATGTCTTTACCATTACCAATGAAAACTTCGTCTCAAATAACGGCAGTAAGGGTTGCGGACGTGACTATTCACAAGATTGTCGGCTACGACAACAACAACAATAACAAAAATAACAAAAGCAATGACGTTATGGTAAGGGCGATTGGATATCCTCTCCCCCCCCCCCCTTCTCCTGCCCTTCCTCCTTGTCTTTTCGTGTTTTTTCGGGGTTGACTAGGGGGAGGGGTGATTGGGTAGGTCCAATGGATTGTTCGGCAAACCAGAAGGGTGGGAAGGGGAGCAAGAAGTGAGATGGTGGAGTAAAGGGGTGGGATAGCGACTACCAGATCGCCTAGGGGGATAAGGTGGCGTATGATTGGTCTGTTTTATCATCCAACGCTGGCCGCATGGCAACAGGGTGGGTGGGGTTTGTCCAGGTGATCGATCAGTAGCTCGCCATGTGGAATATATGACTTCAGTTTTTAGTGTTTCCGCAATCTGGTCATGGGGCAGGCGGTTACTCACAAGACTACCGGCTGCTACAACAAACAACAATAAAAAAAATAACAAAAGAAGTGATGTTGTGGTAAGGGTGATTGGACATCCTCTTCCCCCCCCCTCTCTCCCTCCCCTCTTGCTCTCACGCTTTTTAGGGGTTGAATGGGGGCCAGGGTGGCTTGTGATTGGTCTGATTTGCTGGCCATGGGGCAACAGGCCGGGTAGGGTTTGCCCAGGTTGTTGATCACCAATATGCCATGGGGAATACGGGATTTAAATTCGGTCACGTGGCAGGGAAGGAGTTGTTGGAATATTGGCACTGTTGCCTGTGCGATTGATTCCCGTTCTGTCACGTGTGTACTGTGAGTTGCCTTTTTTCAAAAACATAGATTTGTCACCGCATAGCAGGGTAGGAGGTGCAGTGGTGTTAGGCACCCTGGGTTGTATATGTCGTTGTTCTGCTCCCCTACTACGTGGGTTCCTTGCCTTGGATTTGACTACAATAGGGCTTTCCTCCACTTGAGTGATTTGAAGTTAATTACGATCGTAGGGGAAAGCTCAATATAACTACTGATAAACTGCAAAATTGTTTCGCCCTGCAATCAAGTTCTTTGCCTTACTCGAGTCTCCCCCACTCCTCACGGTAGGGCGGAGCTTGATGATGCACACAACGGGGTTAATCCTTCCCCACCTGTGGAAGCAATCAATGCCCCGAGATTACGTTACAGTCGTGTTATGCAGGGAACCTGTCTCCACGGGAGCAGTGGCTGAGGCTCTTCAAGCCCTAATGGGAAGAGGCGTGGGTATAAGTTTGTAATCAAATTCGTAATGGGAGCCTTGGGCACTGGGCCCTTTTTTGAATGCTTAGGTGGTTTACGCCAATACCGTTATATCCACAGTTTTGCAGCTGGCCGATGCTAGAATGACGCTGGTCGGAGGTGGGGTTTGGTTGCGCTGCCCTGTAACCTGGGTGAAGCAGGGGTTCGAGGCCTGGTAGACAGATTTGGGGAATTGTCGAGGGTGGAAGGCATTCCAGTGGCTCACCATCAGTGGTTGCTTGGATAACGCTGGCCGGAGTTGGGGCGGATCTTGCTGCCCTTTAGCCCAGCAGTTGGGGATGCGAGGGCTGGTAGAGGTTGGCATTTAGGATAGGGGTTTGAGGCAGTTGTAGGATGGTCTGCTGAATAGCACTAGAGTAATGTGGTCTCGTTCATGTCGGCGCCTGAATAGGATAACACTGGCCGGAGTTGGGGCGGGTCTCGCTGTCCTGTAATCCAGCAGTTGGGGATGCGAGGCCTGGTAGAGCTTGGCATCTACGGTAGCGGGTTGAGGCAGTTGTAGGATGCTGTGCTGAATAACGCTGGGGTAATATGGTCTTGTTCATGTCGGCTCCCGAATAATCTCAGTTGATTTTCACTCTTTTATAAGCAAGTCTGCTGCTCTCGGTTGCTATCAGTAGTTTTTAGAATGCTCTGAGATTCTAAGGGCTCCTACCGTCTTCACCCGAATAGAACGCCCGGTCATTGTCGCTGCATGTGGGCTGAAAGTTCGGCCAAATGCAGCCATAAAGACTGGGCGTTCTATTCGGGTGAAGACGGTAGCAACTCACTGTAGGCTTTTCTGATGCTGTAATGTTCATAGGATTAGTCAAGCGCGTGCAAATGCATTGTGTTCTTGGTAGGCGTCGAGCGCTGTAGCACCAGGATTGGACGAAGAGTAGGATGGACTGACACGTGTATCCAGGGAAGGGCATGGGAGGTGTTGGGTATGAGAATGTCAGGACACTTGGCATCATGCGATGCGGTTCAGTTTTAATCGACTTTGCGTTTGGAGAAGAAGTATCTGAGTAGGTTGCGCCGTTCATCTTGAACAACCTCGTCAGGTACGGGGTGTTCAGGGTGCCCTCTCATATCCTCGTGTGGAGAGAGAGAAGCCGTTGGAGAAACGGGATTGGGTGTAGTATCTACACACTTCCTGTTTGCTCTGGGAAGGGCGTAATTGAAAAGACCATCCATCGGGTGAGTAGCGTGGAAACTTTTTAATGGCATAGAAATTTTTCGGAATGAAATCTACGATGGATTGGCATTGTCAGCAGAACCCGGGTTACAGTCGGTAGTATGATGAATCCGCGCTAATTTTTCGGCGCAAGAACGCTAAGTCCGCAAACAAGTGTCTGCGCAGAGCAAGAGGACTCGTGAATGCGGATGGGCGGGCAAGGTGATTTCACGATCACGTATTCCGCGCCCGTGCAAGTTAGTCGTGCGTGTGCAAATGTGTTGTGTTCTAGGTAGGTGTCGAGCGTTGTAGCACCAGGATTGGATGAAGAATAGGATTGACAGACACGTGTATCCAAGACAGGGCATGGGAGGTGTTGGGTATGAGGAATGTTAGGACACGTGGCATCATGTGTTGCTGATTCAGTTTTAGTCGACTCTGCGTTTGGAGAAGAAGTATTTGAATCGGTATGCGCCGTTCATCTTGACCAGCCTCGATAGATACGGGGGGTTCAGGGTAATCTCTCATATCCTCATTTGGAGAAGAGAGAAGTCGTTGGAGAAATGGGATGGGGTGTAGCATCTATATACTTCCTGATTGCTCTTGGAAGGGTGTAATCGAAAAATCATCCATCGGGATTTTCCAGGAGCGGGACGATGAACCATACAGATTGACACGTGTCTTTTGAGTACGGGAAACTCTTGTATTCACCCGAAGTGGGAGGATGATCCGTACAGGTTGACACGTGGCATGTGAGTATGGGAGACACCTGTCCGTACAGGTTGACACGTGGCATGTGAGTATGGGAGACACTTGTATTCGGTTTCTATCGAAAGGAAGAAATACCTCATGTGGTGGCACTGTTTTCTGTGATCAGTCTCGTCAGGCACGGGGGGATCAAGGAAAGAGAGGAGCCGGTGGAGACAAGGGAGAAGGTGAAATGAGAACTCAATTTTGGTCTACTCCAGGAAGGGCGCAAGTGGGAGGATTATTTAAGGGTGTGCTATGATCTCCGCTTTTCTCTGCACTAATTTTGGTGTGAATTTCAGTGTACATGCGTTAATCCGTACGAGTGTCAGCGCAGGATTTTCCGTACGGGAATGTCATTCTCATACATGGTATTCTGATTGCTACACGACTAACTGGGCTACTTCGTGGATCTGCAACTTCGTTTTCAGATCTCCACAACAGTAGCTCATCTGGTGGTGTAGTGTACTATGATCAGCCTCGTCAGGCACGGGGCATAAGTGGGTCCATCTGGGCTACTTCGTCATCTGGCACGAGCCTCGTCAAGATGAGTGGATAGTTTTTGCGCTCTCTGCTGGTCACAAGTCTATCTGGGCTAAACAGTGATCTGGCTGGCATGTGCGCTAGATCACACGTTTCAACCTCGTCAGGCAAGAGCGGCTTCAGTATGGTCATCTGGTAAGAGTGATGGTTGATGGTGAGCCGGGAGGTGGCTCATTGGAAGTGAAGAAGGAATATTGGCGAAACCGAAAACAACGTGAGGGTGATGAGGAAGTTTTGAGGAAGAGGAAGGCAAGTGTGATTGGAAAAGAAGATATGAGTGGAAGAAGGGTTGTGAGGGGATAAAGGGGCGTTTGGAATTTCATCAAGGGAAACGGTGGTTACGCATCATCAGCAAGGAAGAAGGCGTGGATTGACAAGCTTGATGCTGTCGACGTTTTCTCTTCCCCTCGTATTCTTTACCCGGCCAACTCTTATCCCAATCCCTCTATTCAGTACTCAGCCAGTCCTTTGTGAAAGAATCGTGAAGAGCAGACAGTCTTTTGTGAAAGAAATGTGAAGAGCCGATCCAAATTCACTGTAATTTAATTACCTCATAAATTAAAAAAAAAAAAGAAAAAAAAAAAAGGTGATAATATCTAAGATTAGCATCTGGGGGGGCAAAAAGACTGACTGGCACAATTCTAGTCACAATGTCGAGGATTGTTCACAGGCAGCGCAGTCATAGCATGATAGATTCTACATTGATGTTTCGTGGGGCGATGCGTCAAGTTGCATTGCGCCAACTTCATACTCCGGTGAAAACGGTGCTGGCGGCGCGTCAAAAGCAGGAAAAATACCAGACTAAAACAATGGAAATCTCGTCATCATTGGAAGGGGAAGTGCTCACTTCAGAGGAACGAAAGGAGAGTAAGGACAATTTCTATTCTGGGAGTATCCCAGCTTCTCCTCCAACTAGTCTTGGGAGTATCCCAGCCCTTCCACCAGCAGGTAATATGTCTCTCTCCCTCCCTCAGGAGAACAGTAACGCACATGAGGGAGTGTTGATGATCAACCCCTTATTTCAATAGAGTTATCAAATAGGGGTTGCACCAGGAGGAGGAGAATGGTCGGGACAAGGGATAGCAGCAGGGGATATGTTGACGAGGGGAAGCCAGAATACCTTCACAATAGGTGGACAAGGCCAATTATTAAGATAAAATCAGACCGGGAGTAAAGGAGGAATGGTCATTCAAACAGGCCATCGTCAAAGGATATCACAGGGGTTGTGGGGGAGAAGGGAGGAAGGAATAAGGAGGATGAAGGAGGCGAGGAAGGAAACTGGACAGAGTAAGGACAGAGGGATAGAGAGTGGAGGAGAAGGAAGAAAGGAAAGAGGTATGGAGGGGGAAAGTGGGAGTATAGATGGGGGGAGAGGCAGGCAGATGGGTACAGAGACTGAATCGCTATTATATCTGTCCGACCAGAGGCAGGAATGACCTCCTTTAACGGGACGAATCAGATAAAAGAAGGACAGTCGTCGCAAACACAAACGACGACTCCTTTGTCATGGGTGCAAAGCCTTAAAGGGTTGTTTCATTCTAAGCAACTGGAAGTGCCAAGGCAGGGAGCTCAGGCTCAGACATTGAAAATTCCTATGAGGAATCTGACCTCTGCTAAGGCTTTTTTTTAATCTAAATTCATTATTTCTTCGGAAAACAAGGTGATTGAATTGGCAGAAAAAAAAACAATGATAAAATTCTACCCAGTTCAAAAATTGGCAGAAAGAGACACAGTTAATACAGCACATGCAAACAACTGGGTCTTGCATGACGATGCAGCTTACAAATCCACAAATGATAAGATTAAGTGGATTTGCAAAAGGTTAGCTGCATTCAAGGGCAACTTTGAGGCAGTTTGTGATCAACAACCATGTTCACAATTCTATGTTTGCATACTTCGGATAAAAAAATGATTGAAGCCTGGAAAAAAATAAAGTGTGATCGATCAGAGGTCCGGATTTATCCTTGGTCGCCACCAAAACAAGGACCAGATGATAAGAGAAATCAGACGATGGAGGATTTCTATTGGGTGGAATTTAGGCACGTCCCAATAGAAATCCAAGCGGCCTTTATTCATGATTTCGGGGTCAACCACGATATAGTTGATTTTATAGACTCCCTCTCAGTGTATGCAGCAAGAAGGGACGATCATTTGATGTTGGCCCTCAACCATCTGGCTAATGTGCCCTTCAATATGGATGATGTTATTCCATACAGAGTTGGGGGGAGAGAGTACAGAATTCATACGGCTCATAAATTGAGACCGTGGTGTTTTAGATGCATAGCATATGGTCATTTGAGCACAGATCCTAATTGTGTTCAAAATCCGGGAAGAAGAAATAGAGCAACAGGGAGACTCATTCGAGACCCCTTCAAAACCAATTTATGGAGAACAGTGGACACAGGGCATGAAGGATAGGTCTATGTAGAGAATACA